GGGCGTCTTGCCAGACTTTTCCTTAGGTCTACGCAAAGCCGATTTCTCATATCTTTCTTTTTTGAACATCCTGCCAGACCTTCTCTCAAGCCCATGCTAGGTCAAATGCTCATCCATTTCTCTCCTGGACATCTTGCCAGGTCTCATCTCAAGCTCATGGAGAGTCATTCACACATCTTTTCCTCAGCTGGACACCTTGCCAGACCTTTTTCTCAAACTCATGCAACGTCAATTGCCAGACCTCTTCTCAAGCCTGCGCAAAGTCAATTACTCATCCATTCTTTTATTCTGGACATCTTGCCAGACCTTTTCTCAAGCCTGCGCAAAGTCAATTACTCATTCATTATTTTCTTCTGGACATCTTGCCAGACATTTTCTCAAGCTCATGCAACGTTAATTATTCATCCATTTCTCTTCTGGACATCTTGCCAGACCTTTTCTCAAGCTTGCGCAAAGTCAATTACTTATTCATCCTTACGCTCATGGTATCCTTCTCTTTTGCACGCTTTTTCTTCGGTAGATGGCACACCTTCCCCCCACTCAAAATGCGATGTCCCCATCGCACGACTAGTTCTCACTCGGAGGTACGCAGACCTTGGCCCACCAACTGAGTAGACGGATGCCGGTCCATCAGCCCCAAAAAGGAAGGGTGATCAGTCCTCCCCCTGCTGATAACTCACCTCATCCCCTACTCCAATCCGACATTTTGCTGCTTACGAGACGGGCGTCATCACTGAGGTACCACCCCACATCTGGAAGGTAGGTCCGGTCCAAGCCTCCCAGGACTCCATCTTGCCGTAAGTGCTTTCTCGCGAATCGTTCCCCCCGAGCGGTGTTTTCTTGGATCCGGCCTCTTCCTTTCAAGAGAGTTGAGGCTCTCTATTAGTATGCGAGTGCAGTTATGAAGACCTCGCGGTTAGTCCCAGAACGGTTGTAATGATCCAGCAGGGCGGTGTCACTCGCCCTGTGGTGGTTGCGGCTTCCACCCGGTACCACGCCCGATTCCTCCCTCTGGACAATGCTGTTCAACTTAATACGATCGGCCGTGGTCCATTCCAAACGGCGGTGCAGCCCCTTTATAGCATGGCGTGTGATTGGGGAGAAAAAATGAGACTTAGGAAAAATAATGGCTCCCTCGCCCATTTGGCACCACGCCCTTGACGTTTAGGTTTCAACATGAGGCGCAGTTTGAACTCCCCGACTAGAGCTCGTTTTCGGGGTTAGTTCCGGACGACCAGCATCAATCAAAGAGAGAGGAGCTTTGGTCCTTCAACCCTTATTCCTTCTTATAAGGAGCAGGTCGCGCTGAGACTTTCCCCTTAACGGGTACAGGTCTTGGGGTCGCGATGCAGGAATTGCTATCCCCCTTATGTTGAGACCCGAGACTAGAAAAAAAAGGAAAGCTCAATCTCTTGGTATTTGCATGGTCGGCCCGGCGACCTTACATCAAGTTGCTTAGGGTCCCCTGGCTATGCGATGCAATATTCAATCTTCAAACACTTAATCCCATGCTATTTTCAAGGCTGATTCTCATGGCTGGTCCGACAGCCTGTTATCAACAAGGTCACCCACATGGCCGGTCTGGTGGTCATTTTTTTAATAGTCATTTCTCAAGACTGACCCTTCCACCTATTCAATCCTCAATTCTCTCATTCCTCAGCACCCAATCTCTGTGACCGTCCAAACGGTCCCTTCCCTTCCCGGCTTTAAGGCTCCGCCTTCTTTATCCTGTCCTTCTCATTCACATCTTTCTTCCGCCCCCTTAGCTATTTCAGCAGCCGACCCACCGGCCTTTTCCATCTTTTCCGTCTATCCCATTGACTATTTCAATGACCGACCCACCGGTTTTTTCCATCTCTTCCTATTGGCTATTTCAATGACCGACCCACCGGCCTTTTCCATCTCTTCCATTCATCCCATTGGTTATTTCAATGACCGACCCACCGGCCTTTTCCATCTCT